CGTGTATAAGACTATACTTTTGTCTAAAATCTTTAGACTAAAAATTGAGGGTCGTCTTATACACGGAAGTAAGCTGAGGGGAGAACAAAAACAAGTGGAAGGGAAAGCAGGGATCAAAGCGATCCTGCAGTGCTTTGATCCCTTTCCCCCCACCCTTGCTAAGCCCCACTTAGATTTCTTAGTTTGGGGTTAGAAAAGTGGGGGGGCGTTTTATACATGGAAAAATACGGTACATTGAATCCTCATTGGTTAGAATACTATTTGATATTTTTACGTGTCATAAATGCAAGATTAACTGCAAAAGCTAACACAGGCATCATCCATCATTATGGATGGAATGGTCAGGTTTTTTGACCTACAAAATCCCATAATTCTCCATTCTGGGAGTTCTACCTGACAGACAGAAACCTAAATACAGCTCACCCATGAGAAGTTCCTAATCTAGGCCTAGCTCAGCCCAAGCTTCCTCTTCCTGCCCCAGGGCTAGCCGAAACCCTTCTTTCTAAGTAGGAAATTAGGCATAGCTAGGTCTAACTAACTTTCAAAGCCTTACAGTTTAGGCCCTTCTTCCGGCTGAGCCACATTTAGTTGAAAAGACAATAATGTTCAGAAAGGTTGAAAGCAGCAGGAAAAGAGGAAAACCAAATATAAGATGTATTGCCTCTGTTAAAGAACAAGGGGCTAGAATTTAAAGCAGCTGAACAGGACTGTTGAGGACAGGCTATTCTGGAGATGGTTCATTCATAGTTTCACGATAAGTTGGAGGCAACTTGATAGCCCACAACAATAACAACAAAAGAGAAACACTAGGACAGATTCTGTCGAGAAAACCACATGCGCAAGAGTAATCCCGCAAGCAGTTTGCACCCTCTAGCATGGCACCTGTTGTGCAACTAGTCGCACGAGTGGTTTCACCATCAGTGCACAATCACTTTTGCAACAGACATCCTACTGTAAGGTGCAAAGTGCATGTGTGATTGATTACCATTTTGTGTAGAGTTCTTTTCAGCAGACACAAGAGATGTGAGTTCTCCATAACCTTTCATAAGCCAAGGTTGGGAGTGGGAGAATTTAAAATAGCCCAAAACTCTTGATTTGAGGAACTGGCTATTTTGTGTTTCTGCCACTGCTGCTAGATAGTAGGGGCTTTCAACCACTATGTCAGATTTCCATCTACTTTTAACTGGATTCACCCACAAGAAGTCCCTAATCTAGGCCTAGCTCAGCCTAAGCTTCCTGTTCCTGCCCCAGAGCTAGCCGAAACCCTTCTTTCTAAGTATGAAATATAGTAGGGGGTTTCAGCCACGATGTCAGATTTCCATCTACTTTTAACTGGAAGGAAGGTCTTCCAAGACACTTAAACTGGATCCAAATTCTTTTCAAATTTTGCTTCTACTGAACAGATGCCCCTATAAATCACGATGGCGAGGTGCTTCTGTTAGATCCCCATGAGGCCAAGCGTTCTACCTGAAAGGCATTTTTTTCAAACCAAAAATGTTCTGTACAGTGAGATTTATTCCTAGTTGACACCTTTACGGGTTTGTAAAATATCAATATTTATTGCTTTGCAGATTATCTTCGAAGAAAAGAAGACACAGGTAAGGATAGTAATAATGGCTTGTTTAGAACTGTAAGCTGAAGCAACTTTTCAGCTGTTAGGTGGTAAGGGGCCAGTGCAGTCAGCCAATATTACCCTGGATGAGCTAAGGCTAGCCTGCTGTGCATTGACCAGTCTTGGAGAACTAGGTCAAAAAGAGCTAGAACAAATGGGACTTTTATAATCAGTAGGGAGGATGATGTCCTGTGATGTCCTAAGACCCATTAGCTCAACAAAAGCCATGCTCCCAGTTAAGGTAAAGACTGCCAGAATGGGCAGTTGGATCAAGATCAAAACTTACCCTTGCTCTAGCAGCAAGGGAAAAGCAGCAAGAATGTATTCTTTTCTGGCACAAGGTTTTTAGATTTTTATTGAAGTTTAGTGTTTAATCACTCTTTCCAAGCGGCGTCCACTGTGCCTACTAAACAGCTATTTTGCATAGGCACGGGCTCAAGGCGAGCTAATTAATTTGCAAATGCCCCTTCAATGTCCTCCAATGTCATCCTTTCTTGACAAGTCCAACTCTACCAATTAATTTCATCTTTCTTCTTCAGTTCTTCAAGCCCAAAAAGCAAAAGGAAGGAAGATCGCAAACACAAGAAACAGTAAGTAGAGGTGGCCGGAAGTAGATTTGAATCCTTGGGGAACCAGCCCAATTTTGACGTGAACGGTTGTGGATCCAGTGGGCAGAGTCTGAAAAGCAATTTACTGTGTAACTGGTTAGAAGAATAGCAAAATACAGTGGTGCCCCACTAGACGATTACCTTGCAAAATGGTTAATTCGCTAGACTATGAGTTTTTGCGATCGCTATAGCACTTCGCAAAATGGTGTTTCCTATGGGCGATTTTTGCTGAAGGATGTTTTGGACCGTGCTTCGCAAGACATTTTTTGGGGGGGACCAATTTTCGCAAGATGACGATTTTGACAGCTGAGTCCGCGCCTTGCAAAACGGGTGTCTTCGGGACCAATTTTCGCAAGACAGCGATTTTTACAGCTGATCCGCGCTTTGCAAAACAGTTTCTCTATGGGCGATTTTTGCAAAACGATGACGATTTTTCCCCTTTGGAACGCATTAAATGGATTTCAATGCATTACAGTGGTGCCCCGCAAGACGACGTTTTCACAAGACAGCGATTTTTGCTGAACGAATTAACATTGTCTTGTGGGGCACCACTGTAATGCATTGCCTTACTTTATTATTGCTCCATAGCCAGCCAGGCTGTATGCATAAACAGAAATTAAAACTGCTCTTTTAGCAACTAGTATATAAATACATATAAACAATCAGAAAAGGATAAACGGATGAAATAAACATCCTCAAGCAAGTATATCAAGTTGTAAGATAAACTTGTGGAGATTGTGAAGCAGGCAATGGAGTTTGTCTTTCCATGGCTCATTTAACGGATTTGGCCATCCTATAGTATATATATAGTCTGTGCCTGCTAGCTCAAAGAAAACCACGCATAAAGGGGAATTGTTCTTAATTCCAGTTTTGAAAGGTTTAAGACAGTGGTTCCCAACCTTGGGGCCTCAGATGGTCTTAGGTTAAAATTCCCAGAAGTCTTCACTGCTAGCTGTGCTAGCCAGGATTTCTGGGAGTTGTAGTCCAAGAATATCTGGGGACCCAAGGTTGGGAACCACTGGTTTAAGATGAAAACCACGCATAAAGGGGAGTTGTTCTTAATTCCAGTTTTGAAAGGTTTAAGACAGTGGTTCCCAACCTTGGGTCCTCAGATGGTCTTAGGTTAAAATTCCCAGAAGTCTTCACTGCTAGCTGTGCTAGCCAGGATTTCTGGGAGTTGTAGTCCAAGAATATCTGGGGACCCAAGGTTGGGAACCACTGGTTTAAGATATTGATCCCTCAAATCTGTATACAGAAAGCATTCTGTTAGAAAATGTACCATGCCCTCTATCTTATAGCATCCTGCTGGGCAGTATCTACTTGCACCATGATGTTCTTGAACCACAGTGCCCAGAAGTCCTGGCCAGCACAGCAAGTGGCGAAGGCTTCTGGGAACTGCAGTCCAAGAACATCTGGGGATCCCAATGTGATACTCTGCCAGTAGAGTATGGCCCAGCTTAGATATAACTATGGATATCTTTGCTGCCCAGGAGTCCCTTCCCATTTTCTCATAGGCAAAGTTCAGCCCTTCAATGATTGGTGGATGGGAACACCTGTTACTTTTAACCAGCTCGGAGAAAAGTTGACAAATGCTGAGATCTCCAGTCTAACAACATGTGGGAAAAATATATATTTTGCTTACTCCTAATCTATACCATTCATTCCTTCACCATCCCAGTTTTCAGAGGCGGGGTCCTAACCATCAGCCAGTATTCCATGAGGAAAGATGAGCACGAACTGCCAGTACATTAGTTCGTTTATCGGATGAACAGATGTTTGGTGCCTCAAAGCTCCACCTCCTCCAGCAGGTGGCCACTCAAAGGCAACAGCCTAGTTTCCCTACCCCGCCTCCTCTAGCAGATGCCCACTCAAAGGCACCAGCCTAGTTTCCCTACCCTGCCTCCTCTAGCAGGTGCCCCCTCAAAGGCAACAGCCTATTTTCCCTCCCCCGCCTCCTCTAGCAGGTGCCCCCTCAAAGGCAACAGCCTATTTTCCCTCCCCCGCCTCCTCTAGCAGGTGCCCCCTCAAAGGCAACAGCCTATTTTCCCTCCCCCGCCTCCTCCAGCAGGTGCCTGCCAGAGGAGGTGGGGCCTTGAAGTGCAGATGACCCTTTCAGCCAATAAATAAACTGGCACAAACCTCCAAACCCATCTCTATCCAGAGCCAATGAATACATGTGATCGTTGTTCATCTATTGCTCCCACCCCTGCTTTAAAGAGCCCCCCACTCTCCTCTCCTCAGGGTGCCTTTGTATGAAGTGATACCTCCCCCTCAGGCTTAGGTGTTGGTATTTTGGCTACATGAGTTAAAACCTGGAAACAATTTGCTGAAAATTAAATCACTGCCCTAATTTGTTAAATTTTTACCAACTGGTTCAAAATTCCCTATTTTAAGTGGCAATTCCTTGTTTTAGATCATCAGAAAAATGCTGTTTCAATGTTTTGTTGTTGTTGTTGTGTTGATGTGTTGTGTTGCAGTCAATTTCTGTAATCCTAGACAGTACCTTAAAGCATAATGATCCAATGCTCTGACAAATTAAGTAACAAATTAACTTACAGATTCATTTTCTTAACATGGTACTATCAAGGAATTCGGTTTCCCTAACTATTAAATGTCAACTATTAAATAGTTGACTATTAAATAGTTAACTAATAAATGTTAATATTAAATATTTAACTAACAGTTGAATGTTAACTATTAAATGTTAAATCTTTGGTAGACTGGTCTACAAAAGATACCACTTTGTATCATTTCAGACGCTCGGAATTTAACACAGCTATTAGCGGTTTATACTCGTTCGGCATGGGGCCATTTATTTATTTATTTATTTATTCTATTAAATAGTTAACTAATAAATGTTAATATTAAATATTTAACTAACAGTTGAATGTTAACTATTAAATGTTAAATCTTTGGTAGACTGGTCTACAAAAGATACCACTTTGTATCATTTCAGACGCTCGGAATTTAACACAGCTATTAGCGGTTTATACTCGTTCGGCATGGGGCCATTTATTTATTTATTTATTTATTTATTTTATTATGCCAGGTTTTCCAGCCACCTACCCCATATATCCCATTCATTGCCCCCCTGGATCTTATGCTTCTGTGAATTAATTTTTTGCTTGTTTTCCCTTCCTGCCATCCAAAAGCTCTCGTGGCCGATCTCAAAAATCTCACCGCCACCACCATCACCGCCGCCGCCGCCACTGCCGTTCTGGCTCAGAGAGCACCAGTTCTCTCTCAGAGAGCTGTGGAAGCAGGTAAGTTCCCTATAAGCACCCTCTTGAGTCACCTGGGTGGAGAAGTTCCTTGCAGCACAAGATTCCCTGTTATAACTTCGTACAAGTCAAAATATTAGTTTGCATTGCTAACCACACATTAACTCACAGTCTGGAAAGCTCAAAATCCCAGAGGCCTTGAACACATCTCCCAGCTAGAGTCGTTCATGGAACTGGCTCTATGGGGACAAGTGTCGTTGTTTAGTCGTTCAGTCGTGTCCAACTCTTTGTGACCCCACAGACCAGAGCACGCCAGTCCCTCCTGTCTTCCACTGCCTCCCGGAGTTGGGTCAAATTCATGTTGGTCGCTTCGATGACCCTGTCCAACCATCTCGTCCTCTGTTGTCCCCTCCTCCTCTTGCCCTCACACTTTCCCAACATCAGGGTCTTTTCCAGGGAGTCTTCTCTTCTCATGAGATGGCCAAAGTATTGGAGCCTCAGCTTCAGGATCTGTCCTTCCAGTGAGCACTCAGGGTTGATTTCCTTCAGAACGGATAGTTTTGTTCTCCTTGCAGTCCAGGGGACTCTCAAGAGTCTCCTCCAGCACCACAATTCAAAAGCATCAATTCTTTGATGGTCAGCCTTCTTTATGGTCCAGCTCCCACTTCCATACATCGCTACTGGAAAAGTCATAGCTTTAACTATGTAGATCTTTGTCGGCAAGGTGAGGTCTCTGCTTTTTAAGATGCTGTCGAGGTTTGTCATCGCTTTCTCCTGAGATGGCCAAAGTATTGGAGCTTCAGCTTCAGGATTCCTTTGGAGTCAATACCTTCAGAGCTGTCATGCTTGCCCGATCAACTAGCAAGCAAAACACCTCTCAGTGACCAACCACCAAACAAAAGTAAGCAGATGTTAAAGTGGTGGAGCTGTGGAACCTCATTCTAAGACAGTCGTTTCCTCCCCCCAAAAAAACCTTGGGTCCCCAAGTGTTCTTGGACTGAAACTCCCAGAAGCTTTCACCACTAGCTGTGCTGGCCATGATTTCTAGGAGCAGTAGTCCAAGAACATCTGGGGACCCAAGGTTGGGAACCACTGTTCTATTACATACAAGCAGGCCACTATCCTCCTGAGAATTAGTGCATGTGGAACTGAACTTGCTGAAAAACTGACTGATATATGACTGGACAGAATATAATCAAAGAAACTATTGGTTAACGAATTGTAACCAGTTGTGGAATCACCTGAGAGCTGTGCTACCTAGCCCATATTTAGCTTGTGGATCAGAATATCATGGGACACTTTTTGTCAAAAGCTTTGCTAAAATCAGATGAAGTCAAGGTATATTATGAGGTATATTGTCCTCTGAAGATGCCGGCCACAGAGACTGACGAAACATTAGGAAGAACAACCTTCAGAACACGGCCAAGGAGCCCGAAAAACCCACAACAACCATCAGATCCCGCCCATGAAAGCCTTTGAGTATACAAAGAAACAATTCTTTAAAAACAATTTATTAAAAGCTTTTTAATAAGTTCAGTGTTCATAGCCAGATTAATAACGATCAATGTTAACAATCAGGTTGATAAGAATAGTAGTAGTAGTAGTGGTAACAACAACAACACCTGTGCAGTGAAGCAGGCTCTATTGTGCTAGATGTGTCAGGTACCAGCAGCATCCTGTTCCTTGAGATTTGGGGCCAGCCTGGAGGCGGTCCCTCGTGATGTCACAGAGGCAAGGCAGGCAGGGTTTGTGAGGGAGATGGAACTGCTTCTGAGCTGGTTATAAAAGCAGGCATGAGGAACCCTAGTAAATATGCCTTGGATACAGCTAAATCCTGGCTAGGTCAGGTAATATGGCATCTGGAAGATTACTCGCATCAAGGGAATTGGGTGGCGAGGCAGGCAGTGTAAGGCAACCATCAGCTGCAGAAGATCCATGTTCTTGCTACGATTTGCAATCCTTACACACATGATTTTTGGAAATTATTCCAGGCTCGTTGAGTTTGTGCAGAGCTGTCACTAGCTAAAGATGAGTGGAGAAGGGTGCTCAAGACTTTAAAAACACCTGACTTACAAATATAAAATTGACCATCTCTCCCGCCACTGGTTCTGAGACACAGAGACTTCAGCCCTTACCTGGCAGAGGAGATGCATTGCTTTTCAGCCAGACTGACCCCCTTGATTTCCCCGGATGCAGGAAATTCAGCTGCCTGATTTGGGAACTGTACGCTGTTGTCTTTCATCCCGCAGGCCAAGAGCCCGATACCGCGAAAAGGGGCATAAAACGAGATGGAAGCGCTCACGGCGCTCCTTGAAGAGTGCTCGAAAGCCAGACGCTGCTGCAGAGGTGACTAACACCCCGTCCCTCAGCTGCCCCCTCCAGAACAACCGCTTCCCCTCCACCCATGGAATGGTAAGCATTGTCCCCATCCGGTCCACTGCTCAATGTAGGGCCCCCAAGAATCTGCATGAAATTTTTATGACTCTATTAGTGCCGTATTAGACTGGCATCCATTTAGAAGCTGGTTTCATTATTCATGGTGTGACACACACTCTCTCAGTCTGAGGTATGGAAAAAGCGTATGTTTTGCAGAGAGGCATGTGAGGGGGAGACATGAGAGAGAGCCTACCTAGGCTTCAGCCCCAGAAAAATAAAGAGAAGACGTTTACCCAAACAGCAGCCTGAAGCCATGATATTTTACAGGGATATGGAGCTATAAAACCCCTTCTTTACTCAATGGATGATCTTCCTTGTTGGCTGCACCCAGTTCCCCATTCCTCCGAGGCACAGAAGATTAAAGCTACAAAAACGAAACATTTATGTCTAGCAGGGTGTGAGTGTTATTGGGGGAAAGAGGTGGGTGGATGCTGACTGCTGAACGGATATTGTATGGACTCCAAACTTAACAAGTCCCCATTCCAAGCAACGCTGGCTTGTTCCCGTGGATGCTAATCGGTGCCATGTGGGCATCCAAGGAGAAAATGCACAATCAAGTCCCCAAGGGCATTTCCCTCTTCTGCGCGGAGAGATACACTTGGGCCCACTGAGGCGCCGTCAGCTTAGCTCAAAGCAGGGTTTGCTTGCGTTTTTGGGCATGCCTGGCTGAGTCTAATTCCAGCGATCATGCGTGCCCTTCGAGCATCCCCAAGTCAAACGGAGGAAGCGTCACCCGATGTCAGCTTCCCATCGAGTGAGGCAGGGAATTACTTCGAGGAAACCATCATTTCCGGTTCTTTGCTTGAGCGCTCGGTCGTTCAGCAGGAGCCTTGCAAAAGCATCATAATAATAATTCAGCCAAGAGCCTGGGAAATGGGGAGGGACCTTCGATGGGGGGGGGCTGGTGAACTTCCCTAGCCTTGGACCCATTTCACTTTGAGTCAAGGGGGCTCCCCCTTCTCAAAGACTGGTGATTTATTTATTTATATTTTAAAGCCATTTTTCAGGCAGGTTTTGTCATCCAAAGCGAAGGGAAGGTGCGCTCCTCTGAGGCCTGTAGCGTAAAAATAAAGAACGCCCAAGGGATAGCCAGTGGAAAGAAAGGGGAGATCGCTTTGCTAATGACAGAGAGGAAAGGATGAGCTGTAATAAACAGGCATCTAAAAGCACCAGGCAACTGTCAAGAGACACAGCACAGACCCCTCGTTGGGCGCAGAGTGATAACTGGCAATTTTAAAGGCCAGGGCAGCTGTTAGCATCCTCTACTCTCTCTCCCCTGACATCTGGGCATGATCCCCACCACCACCGACCCACAGAAACAAGGAGGAGAATGTGCAGCTCCCCCCCTCCCCAAACAGATGAAGTGTATACTTCTTTTTTTTTCCCTCCACAAAAAGGAACATGAATGGACCATTTCCCTAACATTTGTCAGTAGATTCCCCTCTAGATTTTGGTGCCCTCTAAAGTGTAGTACCCATGGGGGGAAAGCCACTGTCACTCTGCTCATGTTATGGCCCAGCGGGGGGGGGGGGGGGACAGCGGCACCCACTACCTTTTTTACTTGGAAAAACGTCATCGTTTCCTCTATTGACCGAAGAAAAGTGATTTCACTGAGTTTTGTTGGGTTGGGTTTTTTTGTTGGTTGGTTGGTTGAGTTTGTTTTTGGTGCTTCTGAGCTGCTCTAGCATTGGGGGGGGGGACCTCCCCACCCAGCCTTCGGCACTTAGGTCAGTTGAGCCCCCCCCCCAAACATGGCAGAATTGCACCTCTCTCCATCCCCCAAGAGGTGGGGTGGGGGCTTTTTGTTGGCCCTCATTGATTTCTAATACAGTGGTGCCTCACTTAACGAAAAAAACATGGCACAATTGCACCTCTCTCCCTCCCCAAAGAGGTGGGGTGGGGGCTTTTTGTTGCCCCTCGTTGATTTATAATACAGTGGTGCCTCGCTTAACAACAATAATCCGTTCCAGGAAAATCGCTGTTAAGCGAAAACGTCATAAAGCGAAATTAAAAAACCCATTGAAATGCATTGAAAACCGTTCAATGCGTTCCAATGGGCTAAAAACTCACTGTCCAGCGAAGATCCTCCATACGGCAGCCGTTTTCGGTGCCTGTATAGTGAGGAATCCGTCCCTAAGCACAGCGGGGAGCCATTTTAAGCATCCGGTGGCCATTTTGAAATCCCGACGATCAGCTGTTTTTGATCGTTTTTGATCGAAATTCCCCCATTTAGATCATCATTTTGCGATCGCAAAAACATCATCATAAAATGGATTCGTCGTAATGCGGGGCAGTCATTAAGCGGGGCACAACTGTACCCTGTTGGAGCCACACTGATCATGCCAGCCTGGTGGTCTTCGGTCAAATGGTTCTGCTGTTTCCCCATGGCTTTTCTGGTCCTCATCAAAGGCAGTGAGAAGGGTGTCCTTCCTTTCCGTTCCCCTGTTGGAGCCACGCTGATCCTTACAGCCTGGTGGTCTTCGGTCAAACAGTTCTGCTTCCCCGACCCCATGGCTTTTCTGGTCCTCACCAAAGTCAGTGAGAAGGGTGTCCTTCCTTTCCGTTCTGTCGTCCCAACAAAGCCGTCGATGTTGCCTTCAGAGTTGGCCCTGCCATCCGAGGAAATGAGGCACCCGCTTCAGACGGGGAACCACCAGGAGTGGGAGAATACACTGCTCCATCCGAAAACCCACCCACTCCTGTTGCTGCTGTCGAGACCCTCACTCTACCAAGCTGATCAAACGGGGGCCACTGCATCACGACTTGCCTTTCCTGCCCCCCTTCAACTCCACCTCAGTTTTCTCCATGGGAAGGACATGGGTGGAGGCTACCATAGGGACTGCACTGAGGGCCCCGGTTGGCCCCCATTTATCCACTAATTGTTGCAAAAACTGGTGTCCACGCCTCTGGTTAGAAACGTACCAAAAGAGCAGAGCGGTCTAGCCTTCCCGTTTGCTTGAGGCCGCTGAGGTGAGGTTCATTTTGAACCATTCCTCTCTAGAATAATGCTGGCCTGGTGTCGTTTCTAAGCAAAGGAGTGCAGATGTGTGATTTTTTTTTTTACTGAAACTCCCAAAATAGTGGGAGTTATAGTCCAAAAAAACCACAGAAATCTGCATCATTCTGTTGAATGGGAGGGGTCAAATTCCCACATTGCGCCAGCTGCTCACTCTCACCCAAGTTTTTTGGCCCCCCAGGGCCAAAGGAGCAGTGCTTTAGGAATATCAGTTTCTGGAATACGGCTTCCAGAATCCTACATTTGCCTTTCCCGCCCCCCCTTCAACTCCACCAGCAAAGGAGAGCAGATGTGTGGTGTGTGTGGTTTTTTTTTTACTGTAACTCCCAAAATAGTGGAAGTTATAGTCCAAAAAAAACAGAAATCTGCATCATTCTGTTGAATTTGGGGGGGTCAAATTCCCACATAGCACCAGCTGCTCACTCTCACCCAGGTTTTTTGGCCCCCCAGGGCTGAAGGAGCAGTGCTTTAGGAATATCATTTTCTGGAATACGGCTTCCAGAATCCTACATTTACAGGGGAACCCTTGGGTTTCTGGAATCTATATAAAACATATCATTCTGCCTTCCAGTCAGGGTGCTATATGGACCGGAATGCATTGGTTGCTCATTTTGTCTAATGGTAGGGCCAGTTTTCCTCAGCGGTTCAGCCCCATTCTCTGTTCTTAGGCTATTAAATGTTTGTGGGGTTAGCAAAGGCAGCTGGCAACCTTATTTCTTAATGCCTGCTAAAAGTCAAACAATGAATACAGTTGATGTTGCCGAACTTTTCCTGTTAAGTGTTATTGCTCCATCATTTACAAAGGGGGAAAAAAATCTAATCAGGGCGTCTCCTGGCGAGCTTGCTAACAAAGGGAGTAATTCAGAGTTAATTTTTTAAAAAATACCATTAAATTTGAGCTGGTCAAAGGAGGGAGGCTCAGCCAAGGCGTTATATACAAGGCTGCATGAGAGAGAGACAAGTACCAGCTTTTGCCGACCCTTAGCCCCTTTGACTTAACTTAAATTAAATTGAGGAGATAAATGTTTACATACCACTAGGTCTCCAGGGCTGGTGTATTGACCCTTAGCCCCTTTGACTTAAATTAAATTGAGGAGATAAATGTTTACATACCACTAGGTCTCCAGGGCTGGTGTATCCATGTGTAATTTTCTCCTGCTTAATTTCTTGAAGTCGAGAGCAGGGTCCGTAAGAAAGCTGGCAAACTTACTTTAGGTTCTGCTACCTCCCCTGTATTCCTGAAATCTAGGCACAAGAGCAGGGTCTGTAAGAAAGCTGGCAAACTTGCTTTAGGTTCTGCTACCTCCCCTGTATTCCATATTCACACATCTTTCGTATCCAATGCCCCACTAATCGCTCTGTTTAAGGAGAGTTCCCTGATGGAAATGAAAAGCCCAGTGCATTCAAAAAGGACATTAATGTTTTTACGGAAGTTCTGTAAGCACATGTCCTCATCATAGTACATTTTTGGGGGGTTACTTTAATATGTACCTGCTTTTGATCTCTTTCAAACGGAGATCAACTGGAGATTTGCGTAGACATCTTGACTTTGATTACTTCCGTGGATCTGCCTTTGCCACGTCTGCACTTAAGAATGAGTCATGCACAAGCCACCTATGGCTCTAGGTGTGTGTGGAGGGTGGGTGGGGGAGAGGAACGAACCATAGGTTGATGTCAGCCATTTATAGCTATAGTGGAGATGCTAGAGTATGTTCATGAACATCCCAACTTCACAGAGACTTTGTAGTTTATTAACTTCTACCATTTCCACTGATGGAAGCTGTATGAGCACATGAGCTGTAGGGCTAGATGGGGTTCTGTATTTTCAACAGAATAAGAGAAACTAATGAATGTTTGGTAGGGGTTGAAGTTCTACTGGTCCCTCCTATGATCCAATTCCATGAATGTCCATTGGAACTGACCTTTAGCATTTGGCTATTTTCCTACCGTAACCTGGAGT